CAGTGTATTTAAATCTCCATCCAAAAAATTGGATTCAAATACTTAAGTGAATTTCCTATCTTTTACATTCGAACAAATACTATATAAAGTGCACTCAAGTTATGAATGAAAATACTATATGACACAACCCAAGGGGTGGGTGTTCTTCTAAATTTCTACTCTACTTTGCTGATGTTAGCCACTAGTGAAGAAACTGACTCATGAGATTCTTCTTACCAGGAAACATAATTATAGTTTCTAAAATTTTTTTGGCAACTTACTTTCCTTCACTGATCCCTGCCTTCACCATCATCACCACCAACACACTGAATTGTGCTTAAAATGCCAGAAAACATATGTAAAAGAAATACACTTAATTGCATTAGGTAGCCATTTCCAAAAATCATTTGAGATAGCTAGACAAATAATACATGACAGGAAAAATGTTAAACTTTGACAAAGATGATTAGTTGCTACTTAACATCCAAAATATGTTAAGAATACTATTTTTCTTAACCTAATTTCTTAGATATACTCACATGTGCTAATTTTCATGATTTATCACAGAATAATCTTGTGCTTAACCAAGAATATTCTACAGAGATGCCTCCCACAGCTTCAAACCCTCTTTCAATCCCCTACTGCATCTAATTCCCTCTCCCACCACTGCAGATGGACGAAACAAACATGTTTAGATCTCTTTAATCCTGCTGAGGAGGTAGCTAAATAGTGTGGAAATTATTCTGTACATGAAATTTAAAAGACTCTCCAGAGATTTCTTACCTTTTTAATGTGACTTTCATTGCCCTTTCTGAAGCTTGCCATTACGTTTTTGAATCATGATTCTATTTCATAAACAGTAATTCTATTTCCTTTAAAGTGGTCGGCAAACTGACAGGTCATGTATGGGTTTTAGCCAGTCACTGATATCCATGCTAACAGCACACTGTGAGCTCTACCCCGTGCAATGAATGGAAGCAATAAACAAAGACCGTTCCTGCATTTCTGAGTAACTCTGGCTTCTGTCATCAATGTGGTATACTCAAGTAGAACGTGTTAGAGAAAGCAACCACATCATCAACAACCACCACCTATATACCCTAAAGGCACTCTTGAGTATCACAAAGGAACCTGTCTTTTTACTTTGAAAAATACATTGTAAATATTCCTGGAGCAATACTGGTATCTGAAAACTGATTCTGTAGTGTATTCTGAAAAATGGGCAAACTAAGATGCCTGTAGGGCATCTCAGAATTCCATGAGGTCAGGTACCATTTACCCATCAATAAAGTTCTTGGCGCTGCAACTAGTGGAAGATTACTGAGATCAGTAAATGCACAGAACATGCTGGGAATGGGACAGAATTAAATGTCTTACATTTATTAATTAAATTTTGCTAATTCAGAAAATTTTCTAGGAAAATTCTTTTTACACTAATGGAAGAAAATAATTTGACTATTCAAAGTTGTGATTACC